GGTTCAGGAGACACTCTGGACCAAGGAATGGCGCTTACGTTTGTCTTAATCGCCCTCTTTACTTTCTGCAAACAGAACAGAAACATGAAGTTTGTATAAGGAATACGCCACAAAGGCCTAGACTAGAAAGAAAAACACAGCGTTCCACGAAAGTGCAAAAGGCAAATTCCCTCTTCCAGTGCAAGATTTTTTTTAATTTCTTTCTTTCTTTTTTAAAGAACAATCACCTTACATGGAAATATGTCTGGCAGTGCTGGTTACAGACCTGGTTACAGACCTCCGGACAATCCAAGCGTATGAAAAAGTTAAAACATGGACCTTTATGAAGGACACCCTCCCCATCCTCTCTCAAATTAAACTCTCTTTTAAAAAAAAAATCGTCTTCCTTTCCTGTTAGGGTTGCTTAATGTCAGAAGCCCCAAATAATCACAAATATTTAAAAAGGGGAGGGGGAGAGAGGGAAAAGGAGGGGGAGAAAGAACCAGATATTTTTTAAAAAAAGGATTAAGGGGGATTAAACACACACACACAATTACCCATGTCTTATCAGGATTCGTAGGTACACAAATGGGATGGGAGGTATAGAAACATGATCCACAAATAAATAAATAAAAATTTGCTGTGCTTTACAATTATTTCAGATCGTTCCTCTAATCAGTGCTAATTTGTTCTGTCTCTCTGTCTATCTCTTTTTCTCTCCCTCCCTCCCTGTTTCTCTCACCCTCTCATCTTTTTTCTCTCTCCCTAATTTCTCTCTCCCTTATCTCTTTCTCCCTCTCTCTATCTTCTTCTCTCTCTCTCTCCTCTAACTTCTCTCTGTTCCTCTTTAATTTCTCTCTGCCCCTCTCTCTTATCACTTTCTCCCTGTCAATCTTTCTTGTTGTCTCTCTCTAACTTCTCTGTTCTTCTATAATTTCTCTCTCTCTTATCTCTTTCTCTCTCCGTCTATCTCTCTTGTTGTCTCTCTCTCCTAACTTTTCTCTATCCCTTTAATTTCTCTCTCCCTCCGTCTCTTATCACTTTTCCCTCTCTCCTAACTTCTCTCTCTGTTCCTCTTTAATTTCTCTCTCATCTTTCTCCCTCTGTCTCTCTTGTTGTCTCTCTCTCTCCTAATTTCTCTCTGTGTCCCTTTAATTTCTCCCTCTCTCATCACTTTCTCCCTCTCTGTCTATCTCTCTCCCTGTCTCTCTCTTTAACTTTTCTCTCCCCCTAATTTCTCTCTCCCTCCCTCTATTCTCTCTCTCTCCTCTTTCTCCCTCTCTCCCTCCCTGTCTATCTCACTGCCTCTCTCTTCATTCTTTTATTAAATCCATGCATTTTTGCACCAATTTTTCCCCTACTTGCTTTCGTCAACAGTGTGTATTTGTTTGCTTTAGAGGATACAAAAATGAAAGGAAAGTGTATTTTGTAAAAGATAACCAAGCTGTATTCCCAGGCAGAGGCTCTGATCTGACATTACACACTGGTAAACAAATTGGATTTCTTTCCATTCCGGTCCTCGTCGGCTAACACTTCCAACAAATGAAAAAGAGCACAGGAGGCCTTGTCTTTGGATTGAATCACAGACACAGACACACACACACACACACACACTGCACCTCATACAACGAACTCAAACACCATCTTCAGTGCACATCATGACCATGAAAATAAACACAAACACACATCCTTCACTCCACACATTGAATTGAAAACCCCCTGGTATTGCATGAATATTGCACTATAATGTAGAATTCAATAGAGCTACTGCCCTGGGATAGAAGCTGTTTTTCAGCCTATTTGTCCTTGTTTTTATTATTGTCCTGTACCGTCAGCCAGATGGTAATAGTTCAAAAAAAAAGGGTGCCCAGGATGAGATGGATCTTTGAGGATGTTTTGAACTTTCTTAAGGCAGCAGGAGCTATGAAGCTCTTCCAAAGAGGGGAGAGGGCAACCCATCATCCTCTGGGCAATGACAGTTAACCCTCTGGAGCGCTGTCCTATCTGCCCCTGTGCAATTGGCAAACCATACAGAGGTGCAGTAAGTTAAGATACTCTCTAGGTGCAGCGGTAGAAGGTCACCAGCAGTTTCTCATTCAGTTGTTGTTTCCTGAGAAGCCTCAGGTAGTATAATCTCTGCTGGGCCTTTTTGACCAGGTCTGCAATGTCAGCAGATCCTGTCCTCTTTTAAGGTAACACCCATAAAAGCTTCCTACTTACAACCATGCATTTAGTGGCCATTCAGTGTTATAACAGCACTGGAAAAAGTAACTTATGGGCCAGTCCATGCTCTTTATGACCATGGCAGCATTCTTATGGGTCACATGATCGAAGTTTGGCCACGTGGCAACTGGAATGTATCGGTGACGGTTGAAGCACACTGGCCTCACCATTTGCAACCTTCCTGATGACTTCCAACGAGCAAATTCAACGGGGGAAGCTGGACTCCGTGTGATTCACTTAACAATGGGACAAAAAAAGGTTGTAAAATCGAGCATGGCTGATCGAACAACCGCCCCGCTTAGCAACAGTAATTGTGGTCCCGACTGTAGGCATAAATTGAGGACTGCCTGTAGAAGTATGGGGATCATTGCAACAACAGAGCTACATGGAGAAGGAAAGTAGTAGTATGGCTTTAATAACAATTTCCCCACGGCTGACCACAGGTGATTGCCAGGTTTATCAAGAAAAGTTCTACTTGCTGGCCGTTGGATATACCTTCTAAGACAGGGGTCGCCCACCTTTTGGACCTCAGAGACCACCAAACTCATAATTTTAAACCCTGCGGACCAGAAACCCTGGAAAATCCCAAAAAAGAGTCTGCAGGAAAATCCCCCACCCTGTTTTCCTGCCAATCGATCATTCTTTATTTGGGATTGCAGGATACCGTCTCCAGCTCCGTTCTCGGGGGGTGGGGGGGAGAGAGAGAGAGACTTTTGGCTTCATGCAAGGAAAACAGCAGAAGCAGCAGAAGTCTTTCTTTCTCTCCCCCAAACTCCACCAGAAATGAGTCTTTGCCGGGGCAGCCTCTTGGAGCAGGAGGCCTTGCAGGGTCCCAAAGACTCATTTCTGGTGGAGTTTGGGGGAGAGAAAGAAAGACTTTGGCTGCTTTCCTTGCGCGCAGCCAAAAGCAGAAGAAAGAAGCGGAAAGAAGCAGCCCAGTGGCCAGGCCAGGCACGTGGGGCAAGTTTTCCCCCCTCCCCTCTCCCCCCTCCCCTCACGACCTCGTGTTGTTTGCAATGCAAGCGACGCAAGCCTTGTGTTCCTGCGCAGCCTGGATTAATTGCTTTGGGGATGACATTTCTCTGCAGACCACCAACATTTTCTCGCACACCACCAGTGGTCCCCAGCCCAATGGTTGGTGACCACTGTTCTAGAACAGGGGTGTCAAACTCAAGGCCCACGGCTTGCTTAGATCTGACCCACAGGCCCATCCTGGAAACAGTGCAGGATTGGCCCGCGGTGCCTCTGCCAGCAAAAAGGGAGCTCGGAAAGGCCACACATGCCCTCCCCAAACTCCGTTTCCACTGGCAGTAGGGCTGCAGGAGGCTGTCACAGATGAAAACAGAGCCTTGATGAGTGACACTGAGCTGGCCATGCCCCCTGGCCATGCCCCCAGCCCCAGCCCCCAAAGCTCAAACACAACCCTGATGCGGCCGTCAATGATATCGAATTTGACACCCCTGTTCTAGAATCCTCATCCTTTAAAAGATAAGCTTTTACACACACAACAATTGGAGGGGGGAAAAACCCAACCTAAAATGAAAAAAAACAGGTAACAAGTGAACCTACCCTTTGAGAAGCTACGGACTCACAAAAATCTATATTGAAAGGGGTATTTATGTTCTTCAGTTGTTATGAGATTGGGCTAGTAATCCTCTCCCACCAAACTGGGATCGTCTCCATGTCTGTGGACTTCATCTCCCAGAATTCCCCTGCCCATGTGGCCATCGCAGGAACCACCTTTGCTGGGGCCACCTGTTGAACATGACTTCTTCTGGCCATAGTTTGTTGAGCAAGCCAGAATGTCTTTGTTCTAATACTGGCTTAAGCCCTAGAACACACTTTATAAATCACCATGGCTGGGTCCAGCACAACTGGACGTGGCAACACAGCCACTGAAAGACCTCAAGAGAACTTTGGTGGACATCTCTAGAGGAGGAGTCTCCAACCTTGGCCACTTTAAGACTTGTGGACTTCCACTCCAAGGGTTGAAGAGGAAAAGGAGAAGGAAGAGGAGGAGTAGAGAAGAAGGAAGAGGAGAAGAGGAGGAGGAGAAGAGGAGGAGAAGGAGGAAGAGGAGGAGGAGAGGAGGAGGAGGAGACAGAGGAGGAGAAGAGGAGGAGAGGAGAAGGAGGAAGAGAAGGAGGAAGAGAAGGAGGAGAAGGAGGAAGAGGAGGAGGAGAGGAGGAGGAGGA